ACGCCTTTCCTCTGCCCTGGCCAATGACACTCCAGCCTCGCTGCCCCAGCTGCACAGCCTCCAGGGCCTGGGAGGACTCCGGGGGAATCTGGGAACTGTGTCACTTCGGACAAGTGACCTCCCTTCTCTGGGCCTCATTTACCTCATCTGGAAACTGGAGTCAAACAACACCTGCCTGGTTTGCAGAGAGGAGAACACCAGACATGGGGGGTGTGGGAAGCCCCCCGTGCCTGTGGGACTCTATAAATGCTATTTTTTAAACTATTTTTTTTAAAAGATTTTATTTATTTATTTGGGAGAGAGAGAATGAGAGACAGAGAGCATGAGAGGGAGGAGGGTCAGAGGGAGAAGCAGACTCCCTGCTGAGCAGGGAGCCCGATGCGGGACTCGATCCCGGGACTCCAGGATCATGACCTGAGCCGAAGGCAGTCGCTTAACCACCTGAGCCACCCAGGCGCCCAAACTATTTTTTAATTTCAATTCCACTCCACAAATATTTATTGAGCTAAAGGGTTCTGTGCAAATCCATTTGGTAAATTAAATTTTTGTACAACAAATACCATTTTACCTGGGCCTGGGGTGGCGAAGTTGGGGAGGCCTTTCATTATGTGAGGTGCACTGGGGTGAATTCTCTTGAAAGGCCCTGGTCAGTTTGTTGTTTTGAGTCAGTGAGGATCTGGGCTTTTCAAGCCTGCAGAGCCAGGCTTCATTTGTTTCCCCATGTGTTTTGAAGAGATCCTCCTGGCTATAGCACAGAAGGTGAACCCAGGGAGGCAGCAGGCAGCAGGAGGAGGCCAGGCAGCAGGCTGAACGAGAGATCATGGTGGCCAGGATGGGCAGTGATTTGGGATAAAGAGAAGGGGATTTGAGAGACGTATAGGAGGTTTCCAAAAAATAGGACATGGTCTAGGGTTTTGCATACAAAGGGGTAAACGAGAAGAAGGACGAAGGGGCATGAGAGCCTCTTGGCTTCTTGGCTACCAAAGAGGGGGAGGTGGTTCCAGGTACCAAGTTAGATAATGCTGGAAGAGAGCAAGGTCTCTGGGGAAGGTCACAAACAGGGCCCATGGACACGTACACTGAGGTATGCACAAGGCAGCAGGCCGAGCCACTGGTAGGAATTTGGCTGGGCGGACCTGGGAGCTCTGAGGGACAGGCTGGCTTGGAGACAGAAATGTCTGAGGACAGGGAACCCCAGAGCTTGTGACACTTAGTCAATAAATATTTATTCAGCCTTGAAAATATTTGTTGAGTGAAGTCTTCACTGAGCACCTCCACACCAGGTGCTGGGCTAGGCACTGGGGTTCTGGCAATAAACCGAATCTACAAAACTCTCTGCCTTGTGGGGCCCGGATTTTAGTGGGAGGGGGCAGGCGATCAGCGGGATCCAATCCTCATTCACGTCCGCTGTTGTATGGTGACGTGTGCAAGGAGGGCAGCAGAGAGGGTGGGTGGGGCGCAGGGCACGGTGCGGGGAGCGGTCAGGGGGTCATGATAGCCGCCCACGAGGAGGTCGCATTCACTGAATCATGGAAGCCCCACAGCAGCTCTATGAGGAAGCTGCTGTAATTATGTCCATTGTGGAAAGGAGCAACTGAGTCACGGAGAAGCTAAGAAACTTGCCCAAGGTCGCTCAGGGGTGTAACTGGCAGAGCCTAGAATTTTACCTCAAGCCCATGCTCTTCAGTGAAGAGTCTTAGCTGCTCTGCTGAACCGCCTCTCGTTGACAAGGTCAGGTCTCAGCAAAGCCCTGAAGGAAGTGAGAGGGTAGGGCGCGCAGACATCTGGGCGACCAACATTCCAGGCACAGGAAGAGCAGGGGCGCAGGCTCTGAGGCAGGAATATGCCTGGTGTATTTGGGGAACTGCATAGAGGCCAGTGAGGCTGGAGCAAGGGGAAGTGGGCAAAGAGGAAAGGGGAGAATTGGAGGTGGTGGAGGGGGTCACCTGTCGCGTCTGTAGGGCCAGCAGCTTTTACTTGAGGTAAAGTAAGGCCATGGAGGGCTTAGAGCAGAGGAGGGGCAGGGTCTGACTTGTGTTTCAACCTGATTCCTCTTGCTTCTGTGTCAGGAGCAAGGGCAGAAGCAGGAGACGAGAGGACATGACTGATCCAGGCAAGAGATGATGATGGCTCTGTCCACAGCCTGGTAGCAATGCAGGGGGTGCATCAGCTTCTTGATACGCTGTGAAGGTGGATCCAGTAGGAGTTGCTGATGGCTTGGATGTGGAGGCTGAGGGAGAGAGAGGTGTTAAGAGAGGCTCAGGCCGGAGTGGGTTCCTTCGACTGAAATAGGGGTGCTGTGGGAGGAGACACTGCATAAAGTACTTTCCATGTCCATTATCCCTTTATCCCATCATACGTTCGCCCGTTATCCCTGGCTACTTTCTGAAGGAGGCGTGGAGACTTTCGGAGGTTGTGTGACATGCCCAGGGTCATTCAGCCAGAATGTGGTGGAGCCAGGACCGGAAGCCAGGTGTCCATTAGAGGATCCAGAATTTTGATTCACTCATTCAATCAGCAGACATTTCTGGAGCAGCTACTGTATGCCAGGCACTGCACTGTTGACAGTGATGACCAATGATGACGGCCCTGCCCTCTTAGAGCTCCCAGTCTGATGGAGGAGGCAGTGTCAACCAGTGATCATGGAAGCGATTTTCTTCTGTCAGTATAAGTGGCAAGAAGGAGAAACCCAGGATGCCCTAGGAGCCAGTAACCAGGGACCTGACATAGTTGGGAGGTCAGGGAGAGCTTCCTGGAGGAGGTTGAATGTGAAGTGCAAAGGCCTCTGGGATAGAGGGTCTGCGGGGGTGTGGGGGGCTTCTTAGGAAAATACTCCTTGGTTTCCAGGCCATAGTGGAAGAATGCTGAGGGGACTGCATGCTCCCAGAGGATGGCTGCCCATTTGGAAGTTGCAGAATATTTGTTAGTGTTGGATTGTTTTAACAGGTTTATTGAGATAGAATTTATATACTGTGCAAGTCACCCAATTAAAGTGTACCATTTGACAGTTTTTAGCATATTCAGAGTTGTACGGCCATCACCACAATCCATTTTAGAACATTTTCATTATTCTAAAAAGAAACCATGAACCACTTAGCCGTCACCCCCTCCCAAGCCCCCCCACTGACAACTACTAATTTACTCTCTGTCCCTACAGAATTGCCTATTCCGGACATTTTGTATAAGTGAAATCATACCCCATGTGGCCTTTTGTGACTGCCTCCTTTCACTTAACATAATGTTCACGAGGTTCATCCCTGTTGGAAGTCCCAATCTTAAATACCATCAGAGCTGCAGGGACCTAAGAGGCTGTCCTGTGTGCTTCTCCCACCTGTTGTAAAGTGGGGACTCTGGGAGGTGACATGTTCTGGTCCTGCAGCAAGGAAGTGGGGGGGATCCCCCAGATCAGGGCCCCTACCCTCCTGCCCTGCATAGGACACCTTCCTCTGCTATCACCACTTCTCCCTCTGCTTTGGCTCTGGCTGATCTTGGCTACAACTGACAATGTGTTCGAGAATGCATCCTCCCAAGCACTGGATTTCCATGCACTGGCCATTTTCACACCCCGTGGTGTATCTTGAAATCTTGTATGCATCTTTAAGAATTGTGTTCACTGATTCAGAATTCCTTTAAAATTTGGTATTTTCTTTTTCTGCTACTTAAATATTTTTTGTCCAGACAGTTATGCCTGTTTTTCTTGGTTGGTGATTTTTCCACAGGGGGAGACAGGGCAGCATTGGGGTTAAGTGCTGGGTCTTGGCCTTGGATGTCTTCATCCGAGTTGCATCCAAGTCTTCATCGTCTTCAGTGTGTGCCTGTGGGTAATTGCTAAAGCTCTCTGAGCCTCACTGTCTCCCCTTGAAAAACAGGGATAACCCCGTAGGGCTATGGTGAGGAACACATGTTATGGGCTTGGCATAGAGTGGGTGCAGATACAGGGAGGTTAAGAGGGCTTTCCAGGTGCTTGGGATAACCAGAAGAGGAAGGTGACCCTTCCTCACCATCAGCTGGCCCTTTCTCTGTGTTCCTACTGCACTGTGCCTCTCGGGGCTGTGGTGGAAAGCTTGGGTTCGGATCCTAGTCCCACACCTGCATTCTCTGCCCCCCACGTCAGCTCAGTTTCCTCTGTGTCTCAGTCTCTCCACCTGTAGAATGAGAGACTGAGGGCAGGAGCTTCCAAGGTATCCAAGAGGCTCCTGGGAGGGAGATGTGGAGTGGAGGTGCCTCCTCCTTCTCCCAGGAGGGCCTGGTTCTGGCTGATTTAAAGTTCCAAGCAGGAGCAGTGGCACCTTTTCGGGAGAGGTGGGTGGAAAGGGACACCTGGCTTCCCTCTGCTGCTCGCACAAGATGTGTTATGTGGCAGGTGGTGCGCAGTGATGCAGGGAAGGGCCTCCTGCTCTGAGTGCAGGGGACGGGGGCAAAGCGTCTTTGGAGGGTCTCTCTCAGGCACATACGCCAGGCCAGGTGTTCTCCCCACAGTGACCTTCTCAGTCCTTGTAGCACCCCTCAGAAGAGGTGCTCTTATTCCCATGGGACAAGCAGGGAAACTGAGGCTCAGACAGGGGCAGCTGCCTGTCCAGGGTCGCCCAGTGAGTTCGAACTGGGCTTCGAACTCAGGCCTGTGTGACTCCAGCCCCTTTCCTCTCTCCGCAGCGCCCCCCCATCCAGGGAAAAGAAGAGAGAAGCAAGACAGTGGTGGGGAGGATTGGAGCCTTTGGAACCCCAGCTTCCTGGCTGCTGTGGGGATTCTGTGGGTGGTGGGAAAGGCATCGTAAATATGCATGACATGTAAATACGCCTCTGAAAAATAATGTGCGGGCCCACATGAGCCCGGATGCCAGAGTGCTTGGGAAAATGTAGCGTTGTACAACACTTGGGTTTCTATGATGATTGCTCCATAGTGTCTCCCTCCCCAGTGCTCCTACAGCCGGTCCAGGGGTCTCAGGGTGGAGGGTTTATCCTGGGCACCTCCTCACTGACATTCTCCCCCATTTCTACAGACACTGGTGCCTCCCCCTCTGCCAGGTGCTGGGTGGCCAGAACCGGGTCTGTCCTGGTGCTGGAGGGCCCCCGTCTGCTGCCGCTTCTTGCCAGCACCTCTGACTGCGTGCCCGAAGGGATGTGTGTGCCAGCCCTTGGTCCAGTGCCTGCTCCCGAGGTGACGCCTGCTGGTTCCCGACTGGTTCCCATTTTCCCTCTGCACGTAGCTCCCTGGTTGGTAAGTAACTGCGTCCGCAGCCTGGGCGCACAGAATCTGGGCTGCTCACCCGCCCGCCCACACCCTGCACAGTTGGGAGTTGCCCAGCCTTCCACCCAGTGGCGCCCACGTGCTGGCGGAGGGACCTCAGTGAGAGCTTTTATATGTCTGGGCTCAATTTATAGTTTAACTCTTGTCTTATTCAGTCCTCCCAACACCCCAGCAGGTGGGCACAGTGATTGCGCCTGTTTTATGGGAGGGGAAGCCATTGGCCTGAGGATGCATAGCAAGTCTGGCTCTGTCTGCCTCAGAGGCAGCTCCTGCCACACCTGAGGGGCTAGGGCAGTGGGTGACATGGGCTCAGGAAGGCAAGGGGAGCAGTGAGCCATGCTGGGAGCCACAGAGGGGCTGAGGTGAGGCCATCAGGGTTCCTGAATCTTGGGGAGCCCCCTTGTTCTTGCCCCTCCAACCTGTTCCCCCCACACTCCTCCAGTTCCCGCTTTGCCTAACCCCAAAATGGGATGAGGTGCAGCACCCTGTATCATCTCTGACCACTTGTCTGAGGATGCCACAGCGCACCCACACCTGGTCCCATCATTCTTCGCAACAGCATGCCCCCACTCGGTGCTGGCTACAGGGCCTGATACCTGCCACGTTCCTGCATCTCACCCTCCTGCCGCCTCCCAAGGCTGTGCACAGATGAGGAAACTGAGGCTCACAGGAGCTCAAGGGGTTTGCCCTGGGTCACCCAGCACCACTCAGCATGGAACTGTTGGTTTACGATCTGCCTCCTTATCTGGTCTCAGCTCCTCAAAGATATGTGATATGACTCAAAGATATATGAGATATGACTGCTTCATTCCCCAGTGGACAGCCGGTCCCTGGCACAGTGCCTGGCATATAATGGGTCCACAGTGAATAGCTGTGGAAGGAAGGAAGAGGGAAAGGAGAGAAGGTGACTCTCGCCTTCCTCCCCCCGGACCCCAGCAAGCCCCAGGAACCCGTTGGCCTTTGGGCCAGCTGCTGGTCCCTGCTGATCCCAGAGAGCTTGTGGTCAGCAGGACAGCAGGCCCTCTGGTCTCAATTCTCTTATCTGCCAACAGCTGCGCAGCCTCCCTGATGGGGTGGTTATGAGAAGGGAAAAGACTCGTAAATATGTATAATATGCAAATGTTATAGGATAATAAAAAAACCATGAAGTTCGCTGTACATAATGTATGTAGAAGTGCTTCTTCGAGAACAAGGAGCTGCACATTCGTGCGGTGCCAGCCTCATTAATAACTGGGAAATGCCCCTATTAATTAGCGGCCCCCCGACCCCGCTCCCCCAGTCTGGCCTCCGCCTGCCCTAGCGACCACAGGCGGCTATTGCATTTGGCTGAGATGCTATTGTGAGAAAAGCAGTGATAAGGGTATCGGGGTCTGAGAGCTGTGAGTATCTGTGGGATGTCATCATTTGCAGACACTCCTGGTCGTGCCCTAGGCTCTGCATGTCCTCCCAGGGACTACATGCATAGCAGGAGCAACCCGAACCACAGCAAGCATTTCTTGAGCAATTACTATGTGCCTGGCCTGGCACTAAGTGCTTTGTTTTCTTCTGAACTCAATTAGACTACCAACGACCCTGTGGCAGGTTGAGACATGGGGAGACTGAGGCACATGGACCTGGGGCCCAGGGCTCGTGGCGCCGACATTCTGGTCCTTCCTGAAAATGACTGCCATTCAGTGCACACGCCTACCTCCCCGCCCCCCCCGCCAGGCATGGCCCGAGGGACAGGACTGTGGCCACTGAAATAACAGTGTGGCTGGCAGCCCCTGGTGTGTGTGGCCCAGTGACGGAGAGCGGGATTCCTTGGCACAAGTTGGGAGAGCAGCCGTCAGCATTGTAGGAAAGATGGAGGCTCGGGCGGCAGCGAGGGAGGTGTTACTTGCTGCTATTTTGCTAACAAGCTGGTTATTTAAAGATTTGTTGAAGCCAAAGTCGGGAAACTGGATGGGGAGTCTCCACACCCAGGGCAGAGGCAGCCAGGGGTCTGGGAGCCTGGTTGGGTCAGGACAGGGTGGCCACACATTTTTTTTTTTTACTTACTTATTATTAGCAATAATAGCAACAGCACCATAGAGCCTGGAAAAGGATCACCTGTGTGGAGAAAAGAGGCTAGAAGGATTGGGACGGGGCAATAGTTTATTCATTGACACAGATGGTGGTTACACAAGGCGTCATTATTTTTTTTTTAAAGATTTTTTATTTATTTATTTGACAGAGAGAGAGAGAGAGCATGAATACAAGTGGGGGGAGGGGCAGAGGGAGAAGCAGGCTCCCCCATGAGCAAAGAGCCCGATGCGGGACTCAATCCCAGGACCCTGGGATCATGACCTGAGCTGAAGGCAGATACTTAACCGACCGAGCCACCCAGGCATCCTACACAATGCTTTATTCTGTGATAATTTATTGCAGTCAACATTTTTTTAAGATTTATTTTATTTAGAGAGAGAGCATGAGTGGGGGGAGGGGCAAAGAGGGAGGGAGAGAGAATCTCAAGTAGACTCCCTGCTGAGCACAGAGCCCGATGTGGGGCTCGATCTCACAATCCCGAGATCGTGACCTGAGCCGATACCAAGAGTTGGACACTTAAACAACTGAGCCACCCAGATGCCCCAACATTTTTTATTTTGTGCACTTTTCCCGATATATTATATTGCATAGTCCAAAGGCTAAAAAGCAGTTATAACAATAATAGCATTTATTTTTATTTTTATTTTTTTTAAGACTTTATTTATTTATTTGACAGAGAGAGACAAAGCGAGAGAAGGAACACAAGCAGGGGGAGTGGGAGAGGGAGAAGCAGGCTTCCCACGGAGCAGGGAGCCCAATCTGGGGCTCGATCCCAGGACCCTGGGATCATGACCTGAGCTGAAGGCAGACGCCTAACGACTGAGCCACCCAGGCGCCCCAATAGTTAATATTTATTGCGCGCTTACTAAATGCCAAGCTCTTTGCTGAGCGTTTTACCTTATCTTACTGAATCCTTACAGATTTTGTTATTGTGGCCATTTTACAGAGGAGGAAATCAAGGCTTAGAGAGGTAAAGTTACTTGTTATGGTGTCAAAGAACGGTCAGGCAGGGTGGGGGGGATGGGATAAGAAACCTGACAGGCTGACTCAAACATCACTACCCCATGTTTGAGGATGGGGGACCAAGAAGTTCCCCTGAAAGGGCAGGGGGTCCCTGCACCTGTTCCTCAGACACATGTCAATGCCTCTTGCATTTTTAAGGCTTGGAAGGCAGGCAGGTGTCCGTGGCCGTAGGCAACAGATGTGTCTGGGAGACTGACCCTGAGCAGAGCATTAGCCATTTGAAGGGTAGGAATAGGACATCCCTAGGGACAGGCCACGGAAGGAGGCCAGGGCAGACGCAGGAATCATCCAAGATAAAAAGAGGTCACCTAGGTGAAACAGGGTCAGACCCAAACTCTGAACCAACTGCATGTGGGGCCAAACTGCCATTTCCGGAGGACCTACTGTATGCTAAGCACATCCATTATCTTTCTTAATCTTCAGAACCACCCTGTGAGATCAGTGGTATTGGCCCCATTTTACAGATAAGGGGACCAAGGCCTTGAGAGGGGAAATAACTGGCGAAAGGCCACACAGCCAGTGAGCAGTGGAACTGCTCTGTCACGCCCCAGTGCCCTTGTCCCACGCATGTGGCAAGCATGTCAGGCACTGGGCACGGAAGCTCCAAGCAGCCCATGCCTGGCATCAAGTTCTAAGGCAGATCTGTGGGTCCCTGAACTGGTACTGGGGACGTGGCTTGGCAGAGGGCATCTCCAGACCCTGAAGCAGGGGCGCCTGCTCTGCAGACAGGGCACCAGCCCCAGAGGCATTCCTGCCTTCCCAGGATATTTGTCGGAGTGCCAGTCCCTGCTAACCTCTGCCCTCACAGAGCACACACAGCCTTGGAGAGAGACAGAGAGTACGCGAAACAAGTAAAGTGCATAAGAAGCGACTCCATCAGGGCAGTGAAGGAAATTAACAGGGTGATGTTGTAAATATGAACAGGAGAGGGGGCCTGAATGACGTGCAACGGTCCTAGATGGCCTCTCTAAGGATGTGGCCTCTCAGCCGGCACCTGAAGTATGGCCGGGACCCCAACATGCTGGAGAGTGTTCACCGTAGTAGCATTGTTGACGGTAGGAGGACAGTTGGGAACAACCCATTTGTCCATCACCGAGAGACTAGTTAGATCCATTTACTGAAGTCATCTAGTGGTGCCCACTGTCACTGTTAGAAATGGGGATGTGGCCCTAAATTCCCCACTGCAGAAAGAACTTCAGAGTGTGTTGTAGAGTTGAAAAAAAAAAAGAGGTTATAAAACAGCATGGGCAGCATGATATCATTTTTTTAAAAATATTTTATTTATTTATTTGACAGAGAAAGACACAGCGAGAGAGGGAACACAAACAGGGAGTGGGAGAGGGAGAAGCAGACTCCCTGCCAAGCAGGGAGCCCGATACGGGACTTGATCCAGGGACTCCAGGATCATGACCTGAGCCGAAGGCAGTCGCTTAACCAACTGAGCCACCCAGGCGCCCTGATATTATTTTTGTAAGAGCTACATGTGTTTCTGAAAACTGTTCACAGTGGGGGCATGGGAGATCTTTGCTGTCTTCTTTATACTTTTCTAGATTTGGAGTCCTTCCTGTTAGGACTTGGTGGCGAGGAACAGGGGTTTGGGCTTCCACAGTCCTGCCTGAGGCAGTTCTCCTCTCCTGCTGCCCTACCACAGTAAGAGGGGAAGAGACCTGGGCTGGGGAATCAGCAGACCTGAGCCGTACCTCAGCTCTACCGTTTCTTGGCTGTGTGACCTTGGACAAGTCACTCTCTCGCTCTCTGAAGCTGGGTTGTCCCTTGTGTGAAACAGAGACAAGAGCATCGGAGGGTGGCTGTGGGGCTTTCGTGAGTTACAACAGGTAGAGGACTAGAGCACTCCCAGGCTTGCCTCACTGGTGGTGACTGCT